GATAGTTAACGCTCCAACCATGGGCAAAACTAGCTACTATTGTCCCTCTGGCTATGGGGAAGCTATTTATGGCTGAGCCTGCAATACGTACATAACATGGTCGAAGGTCATACACATTATCACTCTTCTACACGAAAGGACAAAATTACTGATAACCGGTAACCCCAACTCATAACACATATTTTCTATGTCTTACATGTTAGCAGGTATCGTCAGCCAGTAAAGCTTGGCTAGGGACAACAATATTGTCGTACACACCCATATCACTTGTTCCTCATTCTGTTGCAATGCTAGCCATGTACAACAGCAATATACTGATGCTCGCCATGGCCAGCAAACAAATGGAAGTAGCAAACATTCATCCACACAGCCCCGTTTAAAACACAAAGGCGTTCCCTTCTTCACTGCATATATTTAGACATTTCTTATGCTTAAATACTTGAACATATATTCACATGTGCTTAGTTGTTGCGGTAGATGAACACAAGCCCATGAATCCAAGCTCATGGAAACTACTTGGGATAAATTATGGGAGTAGTGGCGTGGCAGGCATGGATGGATGAACGTTATCGTCTAGCAAAGCAAGGCATTCACACCAGCAAAGCTTGGCATTGGCGATGCTACCTGAATTCGCCAGAAAAGGCTGGGTGGCAAAGACGTGGAAGTAAACTTGATTCCTAGAACAGTACCATTTGATACTAACCAAAGGTGGAAATCCCGCTAAAAACTAACCAGAGATGCTGTCTTGGTCACCATCAGCAACTTGCAGCCATATTTAATGTAAGGGTGGCTGCACAAGTTCCATGGCCTTAGAAACTACTGTAAAAGATTACTATTTGCTTGCAGAATCTTTTAAAATCTCGTGCAGAGTTTGGGAAACCTACCAAATCCTGTACAGGTGTTGTTTTTGCAGGCTGCACTTAAGCACCTCCCTAAAGATGGGATTTCGTATGGCTAGAGGCATTATCAAAAATATACAATTTTCAGTTCTTCGCTAGAACCAGCGAAGCTTCATTGGAACCATTGGGCAACTCATGATGCCATTGTCATAGAGTTGCCAACAGTGCCTAGAGCCACCAAAAATTCGACAGCTCACCCAAACCTATCTGCACACCTCTAACCCATCAACTAGAAATTACAACAATGCCACTGCATATATATGTATTATCTACCCTTCATTTTCCAATATATAGACGCATGCAACACAAAAACAGATTTACACATGGTTTCAGCCTTTCTTCCTCACGTACCAAAACTCCCATTTTTCCTCTAAAAAATATTCATTCTTCAAGCTACTACCCTACACGTTAAAACCACCTGGGAATCACCATTTTTCTTTAATTTCCTATGTCTCCAGCACTGCAAAAACATTTTCCAACACTATAGAATATCACCTAGCACCGCTGAACATTTCCAGATTTGCAAGATATTATAGTTGGGAAACAACATGCTGTAGTTTCAGCTTCTCGGTAGTTCTTCTTGAGCATAAAACGATCAAGGTTGCAAGGTCAGCATAAAAAACGGGATCAAGCGCTCCATTCATAAGCTCCCAAACGGTCACCCTTCCTTCTCCCATCATCACTCTCAAGTTTACCCTTGTCTTTGGAAGAATTTCAAGAGTGGAGTTGTTGCACTTTTCATTTGCAATATGAGGATTGTTCGTTATAGAGTAAAGATATACACTAGAGATGAAAGAGGTCACATTTCTTGTCATTATTATCATGTTACAATGATTTATGTATAAATGTGATTCTCAAGTTGTAATCTTTGAACCACATGTATTTTCCATCTTTGCTGCCCCTCTTTAACAACATACAACTTCTCCCCATCATGTTTTTGATAGTCGTGTAAAATCATCTTCAACCCTTGGAGCCCCGCCACTGTTGCCCGGCTCTACCGGCCTAGCTGGAAGATTTATCTTTTTTAAAAGTTTTCGTTGGAAAGTGCACTACAAGATATCATCCCCCGTAACATGTAGCCTTTCGCACATGAGAACCCCCTTCATTTTCTCTGGTGTCATCCTAGTCAACCTTCACATCGTCACCGTTGCTAACTCATCCACCTACATCACCAACACCCCCAAACAAAATGGTGACTCCACTGGGGAAGTCGTTATAAAGCTTCATCCTGTTTTGCTTTTCTTCAACGATGAAATATCTCTAGCATTCTGCCTCAACAGTATTTATTTACCTTCAACAGAATTTTTCCAACCATGCTTATCACAAGGGCAACCTTGTCTTGCATTGCTGATGAGAATCAAGAGCCTGGCCAGGATGATGGACGGGAGGTTCAGCAACCGTGTCCATCAACAAATGTTTTTAATGACCATTTGCAAGGAATCATTGATCCCAGCCTTGTATCCCTAGTTAAAGTTATCCAGGTCCTGCACGAAGACCAACAAAGGATTACTCAGCTTCTTACCAACATATAGACCTAACATGCTGTGTAGGATCCAGCACAACCCATCAATATGGTTGGAACTTCCCAACCGTAGGAAATCCACACTGGGGCTACCGATGGTAATGGAGGTTTTGCCACGTGGCAGAACAACTCAGCACTGCCAGTAGTTTCAACTACCAGTATCGATGAAGCTCCACCCAATGCAGCCGATTCTACCCAAGGTTATGTCACCATGGTAGACCTTATTGCTCTCTTGGATAGGGAACATTCCAAACATGGAACAATGCCAAAGGAGATTTTGTCCAAACCATACCTAAAGAAATATGAAAGTCCTACATTCTTGCAGTACAATGGAAGGAAAGGCAGTGTTGTGGAGCACGTCAGCAAGTTCCTTGATGCCATGGGGGCTCACATTGGTGATGGAGATTTGTGTCTACATGAGTTCTCAAAGTCTCTCTCCGATAAAGCTTATACATGGTACACCAATTTGCCTCCAGCTCTATCTATTCTTGGGACAAGATGATAGAACAAGTTTGTCAAAAATATTGTCAAAGTGAAGAGCGCATCACCATCCTTGATCTCCACAACACCTGCAAATGCACTGGTGAAGATTTAATGGTCTATGTGAAAAGATTCAGGGATTTGGCACTTGATTGCTATGGTGGCAATGTTAAATCTTTCTTAGTGGAAATTTGCATCAACAAAATGTTTCCGGCATATCACGTTGTCCTTGAAAACATCGGGATCAACCAGTTTGCAGGGCTACTCGATGCCGCCAGGAGAACAACTATTTCTGTCAAAGCCATCTCTACTTGGAAATCTACAGCGAAATCGACAAAAAAGAAAACCACTGCTCACACCTTGGCTGTCTTTGTCTGAGGCCAAGGACAAGGACAGAAAAGGAGAGATCGTGACACGGCGCCGCCACCACCTATTCCTCTCACTATCGAAGAACTTAGCGTGCTCTTAGATTAGTGGATTGCTGATGATGCCATCACACTACCCCAAGTACTGTTGCTACCATTGCTTTGTCCACCATGTGACCATGGACTGTTTTTCCTTAAGAAATATGTATCATTGATGAGTTTCAAAAGGACTGTTAGAAGTGCCAAACTGAAGATAGAGGGGTGGACAAAGATCCTCTCCCACGCCACAACCAAGGTGCTGTCAATGTTCTCACTCATGTGGAGAGCGTTGGAGCAAGCGAGCCAATAGTTGAATTCCTGACGATACACCGAACTTCTTTATCCATGCACTCCAACGAACTCCAAAGTTCAAGATGCTATTTGATCAACTTAGTTTCACCACCGAGGCACGATGAAGAGCCATAGAGGCCATACTCTCCATCGCCAATGAGGTTGGAGGAGAATTCCTCAACGCCGAAGCACATGCTAACCGCACTTATCTTGAATCCTCCAATGCTGTCACATTCACTAATGAAGATATAGAGGTGCCATATCCTAACCATAGAAAGCCTCTTTACTTATATACTCAGAGCAACTCTGTCGGTGTTAGGCGTGCACTATATGATACAGGATCCTCTCTCAACTTGATACCACTAAGCACCATCATCGCTGCAGGAATCCCCTAATGAAGAATCATCAGGTCACCGCTTAGCACTGTTGGCTTTAGCAACAGTAGTGAACATGCCCTTGGATACGTTCAACTTGAATTAAAGGTCGCTCTAATCCAGTCTTAGACTACATTTTATGTTATTGACACGGAAGTTTCTTATCATATATTGCTGGGATGGCCATGACTCCATCGACATAAAATTGTTCCTTCTATTTATCATCAATATGTCAAAGCCATCTAAATGGAAAGGTTTTTCGCATCTCTACCAACGCATTGCCATTTGATCAGACTAAGACCCACTTCGCTGAAGTTGCTTTTTATGATGAGTTCGCCCCTTCTAGCAAAGTGACCGGGTTCTACCAGCATGGAATGACATCAAAGACAATCCTGATCTCAATCTACGAAGTGTCCTGGAACACAAAAGGCAGAAGAAGGAGGTAGCAAAAACTGTCCAAGCACGGCCAAAGTGCACTCGAATCGTCCTTCCCAACGGGAGAATCGAGTATACTTTATGAAGGCATGCGGGGCCTCTTGAATTTAGATGCTGTAGTTTTAGGCTTAAAAGCAAAATTTTCTTCCTTTTTGCTCCAATGCAGTTTCCAAAAAGATGAGGAACTTGAATTTTGCCCAGTTCTGCTAGTGGCTCCTTTACGCTTGAGTTGTCGCCATATGCACCATATCTTCTAATTCCACATAATGCTGCAGCTCCACCACATTAGCAATATCATGATTTAAGCCATGCAAAAACAGTGCCATAGTTGCTTCTCCATCCTCTTCCACATTTGCTCTAACCATTGCGATTTCCATCTCTTTGTGATAATCCTCAATGCTTTTGAACCCTTGAGTAAGGCCCTACAATCGTTGATAGAGATCACGGTAGTAATGACTAGGAACAAATCGTTTTGTCATCACAACTTTCATCTCTTCCGAAGTGTTTTAACAAGATGCTCTCGATTTCTACGTCGACTAAGCACAAGCTGATCCCACCACACCACAGTGTGTAATCAGTAAATTCCACCGTTGCTAGTTTCACCTTTTTCTCCTCGAATAGTTATGGCAATCAAACACTAATTCCACCTTCTTTTCCCACTCCAAATACACATCTGGATCATTTTGGCCTTGAAATGGAGGAATCTTCATCTTGATACTACCTAAGTCACGATCTTGCTGATCTCCCCACCTTGTGAGATTTTGCTCTCCTCGGTTAAACCTACCTTTTTAATCCCCCTCTACCTCATAAATCTATCCATACTGAAATTTGAGTTCTGGGTATCATTGTTGAATGCATCTTCATAATCGTCATTGAGATCATCATTAGTGTCATTCCTACGTAAATTCGGACTTCCATTTTGTATTTGGTATAAATTGGCTATAACTGCATCTTGCTTCTCCATTTTGTCTCTAATCTCACCAAACATGATGTCCAACCTCTGAAATTGTTGTTGCATTGCTTTGAGCATGAGAGGTTCATCCACATGGTGTCCTCTAGTGGTTGATTTGTCATCATCGCTTGACATGATTGAAACTTACAACGAATGTTAGAAATAGAAGAATAAAAGGACCTCACAACACTCCCTTACGTGCTTCACTCCACTCTCTCACAGAATGGCACTCAATGCTTGTGTTTTGCACACTGTAGAACTTGGCTTTTCTCTCAAGTTTTGCTCACACCTCTTGCCTTTTTCCTTCACTCAACTTTCCTCTTTTAGTTCGTTATTGAACTAAACAAGCTCAATTCAAGTTATTTTGCAGCAATCTAACTCCAACAAATCTGCAAGAGTTAAAGGAAACAGAAAGACACTAAGGAACGACCAAGCAAAGTAATAAAAGAACCAACCCAAACAAATTAAATTGAACAAATTAGTTCAAGCACTTCCTAGAAGGAATTGACTTGATTATTCCTTACTGCAGTAGGATTCCTAACTTAGGAAGGAATAAATAAAATTGTTATCTCCTTCTTTGAATAGAACTCAAAGAGAATTTCCGACTCCTTATTGGAGTAGGATTTGGCCACAGATTTCTTCTTTATACAAGGAATTCCAACCACAAAATTGTGTTGTTTGTTTCTCTCTACTTTTTTTTTTTGCATCTATTTTTTTAAGTGATCCTCTTCCCCTTTTTTCCAGAAAGAGAAGAATGACATTGAATTTTTTTTTTTTTGTTTTGTTTTGTTTTTGACAATAAAGACTGAAAATTAAAGATACGCAAACTTAATTTAGGATCTAATGCTCTGATGCCAAGATGATGAGAACCTCAAAGAGAACAATGAGACTCATAGCACGGCAAGGGATTTCTAAACTCCAGGAAAGCCAAATCAAGTTTATAATAGGACCTTGACCCGTTGTTTATGTCGCAACAAGAACCAAAGATAAAACCTTGACCCATTGTTTATGATGCAACAAGAACCAAAAGTATAAAGTTGGTTGATGCCACACACTCGAACAATTAAGAACAAGAATGATAAGTCAGGTTAAAACGCCACAAGAATAATCTTGATAAGTTCCATAAAGTTCTAAAACGAACCAAAGAGAAAAGTCTCTCAAAAACTCAGACTCAATAGCTCCCCGCCAATTAGGGTTACAAGCTCTTTAAATAGGGAAAAGTAATGCTAATCAGAATAGGAAACTAACACCCTAAGCCCTAATCCTAATAACCACGAATTGGGCCTCAAATAAATGAATGTTCAACCCAAAATGATACAAAAAATGTGAAAATCACTGAAAGTAATCTAAAGTAACATGAAATATTAGTTCGTTACAAATTGCAACAGAATTGCGGGATTTTGACGCAAATTGTGTAATTTAGCATAAATGACCTCAATTAAGCTTCTCTTGAATTTGAATGATGTTTACCATGCATTGATAATCATCCAAGCTTCGATTTGCTTGTTGCATGTTGTTATCAACCCAAATCTGCTTAATAAGGCCATTTAAAGTTTCTCGCATCTTCCTAGCTCTAGCTCTTGTGACTGGACTTGTTGGAATGTGTAATGGATCTCTTGATGTGGTACATGTGGGGTCATATTGATTCCCATAGTATTCATCGTGTATCATAATAATATGATTAAAAGATTTAATTTCTTCACTTCTCTTCATTACTTGGGAATTAACTTGCTTATTTGTGAAGACAATAGTTCACTTCTCAGCTTTCAACATATCTCCAAAAGCCATCACCCAGTCATTTTGTCGTTTCATTAGAGATGGGATGATACTTTGAATTTCTTTTGAAATAATAGAGAAGTTCCTTTACTTTGACATCTTTCTCTTCACTACTCCCACTCTTTTGTGAACTAAATCTTACTTTACAAAGGAAGTAATTTGTTTCTTGCCAATTCAATCAAAGACTAAAGTTCTAGCTGTAAGTGGACTAAGGGAATCAAAACCTAAAGCTTTTAAGGATTCATTTTTCTTCTTTTGCTTCATCAATGATGATATGTTGCACAATCTCTTTGAATGTCTTGAATCGATAAAGGACAAAGTCATAGGTAATTTTTATTTGAGATCCTTAAGGAAAAGACTTCTTTTTTCTCCAAACTTTATGGACCTTCATTAATCCATTTACACCTTTCTTTGGATCTTCAATGGATCTTGAATTAATTTAATGGCTTTATCTCATTTATAACCTGATTTTACTAATAGCATATGGACATTAGCGTCAAAAAAATTAATTTGATCTATAGGTAAATGAACTTGCTTGGTAGAAGAGCGTTGTTTCAACTTCTTTGGTTCTTCATTTGGAGACATAGCAATCGTTGGTTCAACAAGACTAGTGATTAGGAAATTCAAACTTTTGAAATCCTTTTGCCCTCAAGTAAATGCAAGTTGACCTTCTTTCCTTCTTAATATAGATCCATAGTGAAGAATAAGGGTTGATTGGAAAAGCTTTGAGTTCATCTTTTTTCTTCTCTTTACCTTTATCATTTTGTTTTTTGGCAAGGTTGATTGATTTTCTTTTTGTGCCACCTTTTGTGTTTTTTACTTTGGATTTACTTTCTTTGTAGCTTGAAACATAGCTTCTTATGCATTCTTTTCGATAGTTTTCTCAAGATAAAACTTGGCATCAATAAAATGAGATTTAGCTTTAGAGAAAGGATTGGAATTTGCAATAACTATTCTAACTCAGCTATTTTTGCAATATTTGTAACATTGATGAAGTGTAGATGAAATAACACTATTCTCACGTATTTATGGTCGTCCTAAGGGCATATTGTAAGTTGTTTTCACATCAATAACATGAAATAATATACTTGATTCTATGTTGTCAATAAGCAAATTCAATCTTATTTTTTCAATAGCTCTTTGTCCACTTAAGTTAAAGCCTTAAATCATTAATTGACTTTAAAGGAGTTTGTTGTACCTATAATTTTGATGATTACAAAACATACTTGAACTACTAATTTGTTTATTTAAGTGTAGTTTATGACTTGAAAGCTAGCAAGAATCAATGAACTTAGACTACATTGAAAAAGAACCAAAATGCTAAAATTGGTGCAGAGAGCTAGTTATGA